ATGCCCGTCTTCATTAGTCCAGGTTAGGAGCAGAACAGTAGGACGTTAAACTCCATTTCATTTCATTTCATTTATATTTTGAATAGTATAATGACTTTCCATAACGTTAGTACTGTGATAGAGTAAAGTATATCTCTACATGTACATACAATATTAATTGTGAAATATTATGTATTTAAAGTTTATATATATTTTATTATTACTACACATGTTCATTTCGTATATACATATATTTTATTATTACACATTTCTTATAGACTTTAATCAACCCTTAATCTTGATAGACTAGTTGTAAATTAATCTAATTGTTTTAATTACCAAAATGTCTAGAGATATATAACTTAAGCTCATTCAAACTGTATTCTTATAATTAAATCTTTTGTGCTAATTTTTTAATGAGTTAATCCTAGGACTCTCTAAATCAGACCTGGTTACCAACATGTATATAAACTCAAGCAGAGTGCAGCATATATATTCACTCTGGAAATAAACATACATGTTGAAAAACCTCACTTAATTTAGAGGCTAATTTATTTTTAGGATAATTGAGAACGAGACAGCCAAGCGAGTAAACAACCACCCCCAACCCTTACGTATTGTTGTAGAATCTTGCGCACAGGATTCCCTCAATATAGAACGCAACAAACGACCCGTTCTCAGTACAAATGAGTACTCCTATGTTTTGTTAGTGAGAACATTAAATATGTAGAGGAAAACAGTTATTGCATCAAATGAACTTTTCATTCTTTTTTGTACAAAAAGCCAGTGAAACGTAGAATATTGCCAGTAATTGATCCCTTTCAGAAACGTTGGCACAAACACAGCAGTATTTTATACGATCACAAAGTGTTTATTAAATAATTTGTTAAGTGTTGTCTAGCATGACGTGGCTTGATATTTTCTGAATATCATTTTTTTTTTGTACCAAGATACTCAACAATTCTGTTGTATTCATCAACAACTTAGCATATCGATTTTATCACACCTTTTTTTACTAAACTCCCATAATATAATCAGTTTGTGGGACAATCCAATGATTGTCTAGCTAAAACACAAACATATAAGCTTGTTCGCTAGCCTGGAGGTCGGGTGTTCGACCCCTGCATTGGCCGAGATAGTTCATCCAGATTTTCGGCGTGGTTCCCCCTTGTCAGTGATGCAGGGCGGAGGGCCTGACAAGGACAGCTGTCTAGTCGGGTGGGAGGAAAACCAAGGTTCCGTGTACACATTGGCGTTCACGTAAAAGATCCCTTGGCAGTTGAAATTCGATATAAGAATAGGCCGTAGTGCCGCTATCCGGGCAAAATTTCCCTCATAGTACACTGTATGGCGTAGGCCCGTCTTCATTAGCCCAGTTCGGAGCAGAACAGTAGGATGTTAAACCCCATTTCATTTCATTTCAGAAACATATATAAGTGTTTGACGCCTACGTGAAATTTAATTCAACATTGTCAGGACCGCCCCCCCCCCCCACAGCCGCGGTTGCTCAGTAAGTAAGACTTGGCTCGCAAACCTGGAAACCCCGTGTTTGAGCCCCGCTTTGGCCGAGAATGTTCATCTGAACTTTCCGGCGTGGTTCTCCACTTGTCAGTGATGTAGGACAGGGGGCCTGAAAGGGACAACGTATATTCGTTCGGATGGGACGAAAACCGAGGGTCCATGTACATATGGCATGCACGTAAAAGAATCCTTGACAGTGCGAAATCGAAATAGGAGTAGGCCGTAGATCCGCTGTTCTGACAAAATATCTCTCATCGCACACTGTATGGCGTAGGTCAGTCTGCATTGACCAAGTAGGAGCAGAACAGTAGGACGTTAAACCCCATTTCATTTCATTTGTCTATCTACATTCTAGACAATCAATCACTCACAAAATCAGTGTTTAACATACACACTTCGATTGACATGGGGCCCATTAACCATATTGCCCCCATATCAACAGGGCCGTACCTAGCTCAGTGCAACGAGGGGGGCGGGAAATGCTGTAAAACTGACGGACTATGTATATATATTGTTTTTTGGTCGACAATGTTTTTCACGGGGGGGGGGGGCCGAAACTTGTACGTGACAAGGAGGAAAAGCGCCTGTCCAAACTTATGGGTTTTCTCCGGGTCAACCGGTTTCCTTCCACTGCTAAATAAAATTGAGCCATATGTTAGTCCCAAAATAACCTAGTATAGTAGTTTGTGTGCAGTGGACGTTTAACCCAATTTCTCCCTCCCTCTCTCTTTAAAACGAATCATTGTTCGAAGTCTTTTCGTCCAAAATGTATTGAAAAACGAGATACGCACGGCCAGTTTAAGAGAATATAAAAGTTTTTGAAAAGTTTATAAAATTAATTTCCAGTATATGAATTCTCCTTGATCATTACATGTACATACATACCCTTAAAAAAAAGTAGGGGGTATACAGAAACAACATACAACTGCAGAAATGCACTGCTGTTTTTATTAGAGGTAACCAGTGTATGTTAATAACAGGCCAATTGCCTACACATGAATATAAACAGTACATATGGGCGGCTTATCTGACGGCCCCATTTCACCCACAAAGAGATACACCGTCAAAAGTGAAACTGGACGTTTTTGATTTTTGTCTTAATAATGTGTAATTGCTCCACCAATCCTTATCAACCGTCTGATCACGATTTTGGGCAATCTGGTCCACTCCTCTAGCAGCGCCACGGCCAATTCTTGCAGTGTTGTCGGTTGACGTTGACGTCGACGAACACGTCTCCCGATCAAATTAAACGTAACACACTAAAGCAAAGATACGCTAAACAGTAAATCGTATGCAAGAACCGATAGGAAAGCAAACATGGATAGGATAAACCAGCAAGCGGCAGTTTTCATCAACCCTTCCTTGAAGTGTCAAATTTGACAACGAACCCCTCCCACGTGTATGACGCTAAATTGCGTGTTGCACATGCAGCTCGGTGGTTCTGTTCTTCATCTGTGAACATACTCTCAAAGCATGTCAAGTGTCCATGACTATTTATCATATCACAACTTGCATAGGTATTTGCATTTCAATATCCCTTACTTTTTTTTTAAGAGTATATATGACTATGTCATCGTTCAAGGTTGCTGTTTTTCTTCTAACACTGTTTATTCAATAAATATTTACATACTGTACAAAATAAAATGATGATATCTGAAAACAAGTCGGAGTTTATATATATAAATTATAAATTCATCTTCCGTAGGAAATCATTTACATCAATATAAATACATTGTTTAAAATTCTAACAATAACACTATTTCATTCTGTAAATATTTTCATATTGTACAATATAAAGTTAAGAGATCTGAAAACAATCCTGAGTTTATATAAATTCATCCTCCGAAGGAAATCATTTACATCAATATAAATACATTGTTTAAAATTTTAATAATAAATTCATCCTACGTAGGAAATCATTTACATCAATATGAATACATTGTTTCAAATGATAAATTATACACGGGTATAAGTTATAAAGAAAGAGGTGTTTAATCTTGATTAATTATGCAAAAGGTATATTGGATATGATGGCAAATGAGTTTATATACTAAGCAGCAAAAGAAACGTCAGGTTGGTATTATAATGTTACTCTGAATAGACGCATTGTATATTTGTGACCACATCTCTAACTTTACCTGAGCAATAAGGCTCCTTCCCAAACACAGATTTGAACCCAGGAAATGTTCTCAAAAACGCAACCCGACTTCTGCTCCATGATTTTCATGTAACTCGTGCTGCACGTGCTGTTCACAAGGACCAGGCCTATAAAATGCACCTCCATACCGGGTTGAATCATTCACACTACAACGTCAGCAGCATGCCACGACTCACGACAGCTCAAAGAAACCAGGCGCTTGGAAGACTCGACGCTGGCCACACTGCCCAAGCCGTTGCCAATCACTTCCAGGTCAATGTTCGGACCATCTACGGCTTCGGCAACGCTTTCGGGCCACCAACACCACGGGTAGACAAGACTCCGATGTTGTGCGACAACACGTACAGAATTCCTTCAAACAGGCATCTGAGACAGCACGTCAGACAGTGGGAACACACGGAAGACCCATCAGTACCGATACAGTGCGCCGACGCCTCACTAGAGAGAACATCCATTGCCGTAGACCTTACCGTGGACCGATCCTCACCCCTCGCCATCGACGTGAACGTCTACAGTTTGTCCAACAACACCAGAACTCGTGACACAGGCAATGGAGAACGGTATTGCAGATGGCAGGACCAGTATATGGCGTCGACGTGGCTAGCGTTATTCTGACCAATGTGTCATGGAACGAGACTCATGGAGAGGTACAAGCTTAATGATTGGGGGGGGGGGGGTCGGCCTGAACCAGAGAGTGGGTCCTGTGGTGTTCCAAAATCTTGGCCCAGGGAGAGGAGGCGACATCACAGCAGTGCGCTACATCGATCAAGCTCTCATACCACATTTCGCACGTCATCGAAACAACGTTTCCCAGCATGACAACGCCCGTACCCACACCCACAGTGTTACTCGGGACTTTCTACAGCAGAACGGTGTCAACGTTATGCACTGATCAGCCCTTAGTCCGAACTTAAATCCGTTCATCAATCGTCTGGCCCACTCCATGTACAGACGCTGCGCTGCTGTTATTGACACTCGCGGCGGACACACCAAATACTGATGTATAGACTGTGTACAGAATGTAAACCTTCTCGGATGAAATTCAGAGGAGAATTAATAACGTCGTACCGAGACCAAACACAGCCGATGGATTGTGCCAGGCTTTTCTGAGAGTGTGGTTCCAGGTGCCAATGGCGTTCATCAATCGTCTGGCCCACTCCAGCCGATGGATTGTGCCAGGCTTTTCTGAGAGTGTGGTTCCAGGTGCCAATGGCGTTCATCAATCGTCTGGCCCACTCCATGTACAGACGCTGCGCTGCTGTTATTGACACTCGCGGCGGACACACCAAATACTGATGTATAGACTGTGTACAGAATGTAAACCTTCTCGTAATGTCTTGGAATTGTGATGAAAAATTGATTTCATCCATTTAGTAAGTCGTTGTCTAAAATGATTTGATTAAAGTGCGTGCCTCTCTGATTTTGAAATCGTACTGGCGTTTTCTTTTGCTGTTTAGTTTAGCGACCTTGACGAAAATTAAGTTGGCCTTAGCAAATAGATTTAGCCATTTTTTATCAAATAATTTATACCGGGGCAGCCCTGTTAAAGAGAACAAGATAACATATTTTAAACCGTCAATATTTACAACCGAGAATAATAATTAAAAATAAAACATTTTACTTTATTAAAACTTTGCAAAAAAATTTCCAATTCAACAAAATAGCCATTTATTTTTAACTACTTCATGCCTTAGTGGCTTCCTGTCACATTCATCCTCCGAGAACCGAGAACAATTAAAAACAAGGCACCTAATAAACACACCAAGTTTAAACATTCTAGCTCAATTAGGAGAATTATTGTGTCCCAAAAAGTGTGACGGACAGACAGACGAGCGGACGGACAGACAGACGGACGACGAACCCATTTCTTCGAAAAACGATAGACAATAAAATATTTAAAAATTTTCAAAAAAATTTCAAATTCAACAAAATAGCCATTTATTTACCAACCAATTCTTGCCTTCATGTGTTGCTGTGTTCGTCTTCCCGTTATACATTCATAGTGAAGCAAAGTCTAGAAGGGCAAAGAATTTCGCCCTGTCAAGGCATCGTTTCGCTAGGAGTTAACAGCGCGAAGACAAAAAGGGAAGAAATAAACAAGGCGAAGCGAAGAAGTCATTCGAATTCTTGGCTTCTCACCAATTATTTACTGCTTTCTTACTTTCACGGCTGTTGACTGATACTGAAGCGATATCAAGACGTGGTTAGTTTATGACAATTTGTCGCGGCTTCATGGTTTTGTCTTCTCCGCTCGTTAACGGAGCGAAGGAAAGAAGGAGCGAGGGTGTATTTATAAAATCTAAGATTTCTCTGTTCAAAATACCATGGTCTCAGTCTATAGGTCGTTTGTACTTCCGTTCTGGCAAAGGAAGTAAAATAAAATGGAAATGGAATTTTACCTCCAATTTCTCTGTCCGATTTCGCTCATTAAGTGTGCCACGGGGGACATTTTGCGCTACAGCAAGGGTTCTTTTACGTGCATGCTAATAGGTACACGAGACCTCGGATTTTGGTCTTATCCGAACGACTAGACACTGTCCTTGCCAGACGCTCTTTCCCGCACCACTATGACAAGGGGAAACCACGCCTTCTGGTAAAGGAAATTGGGAGTAAATCAATGGGTTTCGGGGCCGGTAGAAGTGTTAAGTTGGGATTTGGGTTCTTAATATCCCATTTACATCCTCTAATTAATTCTATCACAAAAACCTTTAACGATAATTTAGCGAATTTCTCGCCTGGACATGATCTTGTACCAGTACCAAAAGGCAAATAGTTGAACCTCAGACCTGGAATATCAATTTCCGGTTCGTCCCATCGCTCTGGCCGGAAGTTATCGTTGTCAGGGAAGAGTGATGATGACTTGTGTGTTTCACGAATGCTGTACACTATTGTCCAGTCTTTCGGTACCTCATAGTCCTACAACGAATCATAATAGACTTAAAGACAACGGTTCCGGAAATGACGTATGAGAGAGAGAGATAAAAAGAGAGAGAGAGATGAGGTGAACGCTTCCAATCGACATACTATGTCATTTCAGACTAACTTATGGTTCAATTTTATTTCATTAATTCGCTTCTGCGTAGTAGGTCCTTACCTGTGAGAGGAAACCGGAAGACCTGGAGAAATGACAGACCTTATGATCTAGCGTGCACACGTTAACCCATTCGGCCAACCAACACTATTTAGTGTAAATCGGTACATAAAATAGTACGCGAAGGCGTAAAATGAGTCGTTTTAAACGAGTAAAAGGCATCATTCTGTCTGTACTAGTTTACGTTAGTACGTCTTACGTAAACAATGTATACCACCCTATCGATGCCAATGATCGACCACGTGACGTCACACGTAGAATGCATTTGAACTTATTAAGACCAGTCATCTTAGGTCTTAGACCGAGTTAGAAGAAGGCTTTCGCATTATCTCTGTGAAACAGACTGTGGACGACCATTTACTAGAGATATTCCCAATATCTAACCCCAGCTTTAAATAGTTCAATCCAATCAAAAGAGTGTCATTATCGCGCTTTGTCTTTATCGTTCTGATTTTCTACCATAGCATATAAAATGAAATGAAATGAAATGGCGTTCTGCTCCAACTGGGCTAACATATTTAGAATGGTTGCCGTTCTGAGAGCTGTCGTCTTATATGCCATGCACGAGACTTGCGTGGGGTTTATAAATAGATCGATACTGGCTTAATCGGAAGAACCGCATTTTCATTGGTTGTTTATAGCACACAAGTATTCCACACCTCTTATTTATGAAATGAAATGAAATGGGGTTTAACGTTCCTACTGTTCTGCTCCGAACTGGGTTAATGAAGAAGGACATACGCCATACAGTGTGCTATGATGTAGGGTGACCCACCATAAATAAATATCTCCATATATATCGACAATTTCGCCACAGTATTTATATATATGCCAAGCCTCAAATCAGTTTCACACAATTATAGTCACTAAATAAACGATCATGTTGTACTTAATAAGCTATGACCATTAATCATCTATAAATAATAGACTGAAAACTGGTTCCATGTGTCGTCCATAACATCCAGACACTTTTGAGTAAAAGATAGGTTACGTGCCCTTGTTTTGAAATTAGAGTCGCTTAACCAGTCTATCGACCATTCTAAGGCTGATTGACAGGTCGGGATAATCAAGACTATTTTTTTACGAAACATAACAGAAAGCTAGAACAAGAAATTGAATTAAGAAATGAGCACGTTAGCTAGCTCAACAATTGTTTTAAGAAGCTTGTAAAAGTAAAATGAAACTACTGCTAGTATCATGTTCCTGTCTAACCCGAGTGTTTCAGAGATAGTATTTGTACTAAACCAAAAGATGCCGCTCTTAACGGTACAGTTAATGATAAAGCGATTTAAAAAATGAAACGAACGTAATTTCTAAATCTGCTGTAATAACCAAGAAGCTTAATTTTACTGCTATTCAAAATCGTCAACAATAAATTTTTTACGGCTGTAATAGTTGATAGATTTGTAGAGAATTGCACGTGCCATGGCTATTTATAGTATCATACTGTTAGAAAGTTGGCCTCGACACGGCGAATGTGCACGCTTCAGTGGTAGTATCGAACTATAAGCGGTTGACTGTATTTCTGTAGGTGCATGGGCCACCCTACGGGGGAAATTTTGCCCAGACAGCGGCACTACGACCTACTCTTATATCGAATTCCAACTGTCATCTTTTACGTGCTCTACCATTTTCACCCATTTTGCTCGATTTAAAACACAATAACCATGATTTCTAATACCTACCCCAATATCAAAGGTCCTCTTGGCTTTCCTGAATCCACCCCCAACAGGTGGAAACATTCTAAGGATTTCTTTGATAACATTTTCAAGGTAATTAAGATTATTGACAACTTCATAGGTCAGATCGTTCTTACTCTGTTCACCAACCTCGTTCAGTTTTAATTCACTTCTGATTTTTTCACAGACATCCGGATTTTTAAACAGTTGTAGCAGGAGAGAACACGTACTACTTGCAGTAGAATGGTGCCCCGCAAATAGTAGCTCAACACATTCGTCTACGATGACATCTTCAGTTAATGTGTTGTTGTCAAGGAAGTTACGTAGAACATCTAGAACACTTACAGCAGCAGAAGTGCTCCGGGTGTCTGACGTTTGAAGCAGTTCTTTTATCTGGTTTTGTAATAATTTTCTTGATTTTAAACCCTACAAAATAAAAAGGTGAAGTTCAATAATGAGTCGAATTCCATCAAATAAATTAGGCCTATGGGTTGGTTAAGCTTGTTGTACGTGACATGGAATGGGGTCACCTGCCTAACCTCGTGGGGTTTCTCTGGGTCCTCTGGTTTCATCCCATCGCTAAATAATTCTACGCGTATTTAAAATAAAAATGTACCATGTTAAGACCAGCTCAATGGAGAATCGACCCGTACATCCAGTGCGGAGAATCAGAAAGGTGTATCTAACAAAGGTCATACGTCTGTAGACTGTATTTGATGACGATGAACGCAGACTACTGGTATTCGTCAAAACTTGTCCCAGAGAGAGATCCCGTATATACGACGGCCAAATCGCATCTAAAGCGAGGAACTGTGGGAAAGAACAAATCAGAGCTCTGTGGTTATGAAGATAAGATAATCGTAATGCCCCAAAAATGTTACAGGCCAAGAAATGTCATAGATTTAACAATGAAACACCCAGTGAACGTGGTTACCTCCCTTTAACTGTAATTCTGCCAATTTTAAGTCAACTAGCTATAGTCTTATATAGATTCCCAACTGTCAGGCATGCCAGGTCAGCTGTCTAGTCATTCGGATGGTACGAAAAACCGAGGTAACGTTTATACATTGGCGTGCACGTAAAAGATCCCCTGGCAGCTGGAATCCAATATTAGAGTAGGGCATATTGCCACTGCCCGGGCAAAAATAGGGCGTTAAACCCCATTTCATTTCATTTCACTTCAACTGTCAGGGAACTTAACGAGATTTTCCTTGCCAGACTACCGTCTTTCACCTATGTCAAAGGGGAAATATAAACTGCATTTTACCCATGGACCTTCCAACACAATCTTGCATAACAGCATGCACGGTCAACACTGGGTCAATTTTTTCTCCCAAATACAGAGAGAGAGAGAGAGAGAGAGAGAGTCATCAAATGGCATTTCGGGACTAACATACGGTGGGAAGAAACCGGAGGACCCGGAGAATAACCACGAGGTTGGACATGTGACCCTACTCCTTGTCACGTACTATGAGGGGATCGAAACCACAATACTTGACTCAATGACAGACCTTATGGTTTCACGCACACCCTTTAAACCACGCCACTTGACTGATTGACCAATCTGATTAAAACACAGATCCTATTTCGTTTTTTTTTTATAGTTCAAAATTTCGTTTTACTTGTCTTTACTACACTAGGATCTGGAAGAGTTGTTATCATTGACGTGTTCTGAATAGCCTATGAAACGATCTGTTACGGCGAGCTTTAGGCGTGTTTTGCACGGAACTGTGGGTAATTCACTAGTAACATCAATGCTGATTGGTTAATCAAATGTCTGACGGCATACGGCCAAAAGCCGCTCGTATGACCTCTGACGTGACATATCGCAACAACCTGTCAGATCTCCATGTAGGCCATCGAAAGTATAAAAAACGAAACGAAAAATAGATCTGTATTTTAATCAGCTTGCTGTTAGACACGACATACCACTCGACCCCCCCCCCCCACCCCCAAGTGGTAGTAGATATTTGGAGTATACGTGCCTTATGAAAGCCGAATCCAGGACAGTTTATTGGTAAACTAAACATATTGTCGACCACTGTTTTAAAGACTGTCGTCAGCTTCTCTTTTTCTGCTTCCTCAAAATCCATTCCAAATATAACTTTCCCAGCCAATCTAAAAGCCAAGTCCCGGCAACATGAATAACCAAGGAGTTCTCCCTTCTCATCGCACCATTCGTGCAAGCATTCTTGGACAACTTTTTGAATTTCAGGAACAAAATTGGCAATGGCACGATGGTCGAGTGCCTGTTGCAAAATCCTTTTCTGCACACGATGGGTTTCGCCATATTTATTTGACAGAGCTCCGTCTCCTAAAAGAATCCGAACACTTTTCGGCCATGTTGATGTTACATGATGTGGTTCACCCAGTAGAACTTTCTTGACGTTATCAGGACCGATAACTCTCACGGTCCGGGACCCGAACAAGTGCGTCTTGTAAATATGACCATACCTGGCAAACCTTTCTGTGTAAAATTCACACCCCTGAAAAATAACACAAAGTACAGCCTCAAAATAATAAACTTAGGATGTCTGTTTAAAATTAGCTGCGTTTGAGAATAGACACGTAGATAGTTGACCGACATATAGTAATTCCTACATCGACGAAATGAAGTGAAATGAAACGGGGTTTATCGTCCTACTATACTGGGCTAATGAAGATGGGGATACGCCATGCTGTGAGCTATGAGAGAAATTTTGCCCGGGCAGCGGCACTATGGCCTACCCTTATATATCAAATTCCAACTGCCAACGGATCTTTTACGTGCACGCCAATTTAAAAACACTAAGCCTACTTAGAGAATTTTGAGAAATATTTATCTACTTCCATTTTCATATTTTATTTGTGCGAAAGATGTAAAACGGCTAAGAAGCGCATAACAAAAAAGGCACAATATTTTTTTTTTTTTTCAAAGTGGCAGCCATTCAGGACAGAGGTCTGTAGAATGTACCGCTTTCGAAAAGAAAATCCCTGCGTAGGTCGAGCAGAACCTCGGCTTTTCCAGTCCGGTTTTCATTTGTAAGGGGAAGTAAAATGTTGCCTGGCACTTGGGATTGTATAAAAAAAAAACAAAAAAAAAAACAGAAATGAAATGAAATGGGGTTTAACGTCCTGCTGTTCTCTGCTCCTACTGGGCTAATGAAGACGGGCATCGCCGGGGATGAAAAGCCGTGGCACGTATTCCGACGAACATAATTGATTACAAATTACAATAAAAAATGAATGTAAATCAGTTTATTTACATAAATATATGTTTTTTGGCCCATTTTCGTACATTTTGTGGAGCCACGGTGGCTAGGTGGTTAAGACGCTGGCTCGCTATCCTGGAGGCCGCGTGTTCGATTCCAGCATTGGCCGAGAAACTTCTTCGGGATTTTCCGGCGTGGTTTCCCATTGTCAGATTGTCAGTGGTGCACAATGGAGGGCCTGACAAGGACAGTTGTCTAGTGGTTCGTACGGGACGCAAAACCGAGGACCCGTGTATACAGTGGCGTACACGTAAAATACCCCATGGCAGTTAGAATTCTATATAAAAGTAGACCATAGTGCCGCTGCCCGGGCAAAATTTCCCTAAAAGCACACTGTATGGCGTATGCGCGTCTTCATTTGCACAATCGCAGAGGAACAGTTGGGCGTTAAACCCCATTTTATTTCATTTCGCACACTTTTTACGATACAAAGAATGGATATTTATCTCTTTTAAACACCATTCTGTTTCTTTTAACAACATGTGACACCCCATCGTGATACCAATTCTCATCCATCATGGCGAACAATTTGTACTTAAAGATGCATTATTCAAGAGCTAAATCTGCTCCAGTGCTTGTTGCAAGTCTTTTTTCTGGCTTCAAATATATGTAAATTATTATTTAGGCTATCGAATGTTCAAGATATTAAATACATTAGGCCTAGGACATCCTCGCCATTTAATAATTTAACGTTAAAAAGGATAATCGAGACTTTGTTTATTATCGTAGCAATGGTAAAATCCAGACTATTTAGTAAAAAATCTTTAAGAACTTCGAGCAGAATAAAGTAATTTGGCTGTAATTTTCAATATGTAAGTATTTTTCAATTTTCTATTTTTAAACTATTATAGCCAGAATGATCAGCTAGCTCTTTATCTAAATCTTACATAATGCATCTTTATGCTACCTTAGTTACGAAGTCTAGGGTTTCTCCTATAATAGGGTAACCCATACTTCCAGGTGGTAGGCGTGGCATGGGGTAGTTCGTCCATGTCAAGAAGAAAAATATCTTCTTAATCAACTGAAATAATTTCGTAAGAAAATCCCACCTACAATGCAGAAAAGAACACAATAATTGTCACTTGTTTGTTAGTAATAGTAAGTTTGAGCCGCACGCACACACGAAATACATTTCATAATTTGCATAAAAGAAAAAATAAATTAATACAAATGCACTAAAGCGTTTTAAGTGTTGAGGTGAGGCATGGCTCAAAATAGATTTAACTGTGTGTTTTAAGTTATTTTTCTTGGAGAAATATAAAACTTCAATAGAAATGTACCTAGTTGTTGAAGCTTTATATTGTTCATGCCAGTTGGGACGAAATTTATATAATGATATTATAAACGAAGCGTTCCCATTTCGTTATGCTTCCCGTTAAAGTCTAAACATTAAGGTCAACTGCAGATTTCGTCCTATTCGCGAGATGTAAATAGGGTTAGAGGGCACGTGATTGTTTACGAGATTGTGGGTTAGGGCTAGAGTTAGCGCTAGACCTGTTGATCAAATCTTCCGTCGCCCCTAATATTTAGACCTAACCTATGGTTCCCGCCATTTCTTGGCACGTTATACACATTTATCATTCACTATTCTTACTATCCGTTGCAAGTTAGCCTACCATTAGTAGGCTACTAGACTAGCTTACAAAATACAAACTACATTAACCACACATTATGCAAGCAAGTTGAAGAGGTAAATCTGCCTATTGCAGGTCTTTCTTTTAGGCCTGAAATGTTTATATAAACTATCGATTAGACATTTATTAACATAAAAAGACCTTAATCAACTCTCGATGCCAATGTGTCGGATTTTCACTAGACTTGAATCCGATTTACTACGCAACGCTCAGTCGCTCATTGATGATTGATTTAATCCAAAAATGGATAATCGAGACTATGTTTTTTCTATTGTACCGACTTTAGTAATGATGATCGAGGCTAGGCCTAAAATTGAAACGCTAATCATCACGGTTCAGAGTGGATCAATTTGACTGAAATGTTCAGCAAATTCCCTTTACATTTATCTAGGTTTTAAATAGGCCCTATTATCAGGCCTATAGTGAGAACAGCCAGCTCTTCATCCAATTTCCCATAAAGCCCCTTTAATGATCTTTATCGTGGATCCAATGTCTTCAAGCTTGAGATTTGAGGAATATTTATTTAAGTGAGTCAATGAAAATCAGTTTAGCAACCAAGAACAGGCCTACGGATCTCAACATCAACTAAATCAACTATATGCAAATCCGTAATGGAGCGTTGAGGATTTATAAAATTACAAAAATACATTAATTGTTTCAAGCTTTCATTAGTAAAGATTCCAGAAATTAATCAGCAAAGATAACAGTAACAGCGTTTCGATCTAACAAGATAGAATCTTACATTTTAGCAGACTTCTTTTTCGGTCGCCATTAATTTTTCTGACGTCATTTCCACGTCACCGACGAAACATTGTTTCAAATAATCGAATAACAGTCGGAACCCGCTGTTATTTTTGCCGTGCACAAGTCGCTGTGTCTCAGTGACTAGGAGGTCAGGTCAGAGGTTCATTCCCGGATTTGGTCGCGAAAGTTCCCCAGGACTTTCCAGCGTGGTATAATGCCATTGACACTCAGTGGTTCGGGACCACGGTCTGACAATGACCGTGTCTAGGCCCTTTTCTCATATCACACTATATATATAGGCACGCCACGCCCGTCTTCACTGACCCGGTCGGTGCAAAACAATAGGACGCTAAACCCCCATTTTAATTAAGACATGGTGCTGTGTTTAATAATACGTTTTCAAAACAGTCATGCTATTCTTCGAAATGGCATTTTTTTTATCTGTTATAATTTTTTTTTTTAACTCGCATTAATATTCCTTATGGGGTCTAAAGTTAGGTCACTCAACCTCACCCCACCCCCACTAATCAACTCACGAATTACGGCACAACTTTCATGTACATAACTATATAATAAAGCCGCCAAATAGTTGGCACCAGGTAGGCCGATGTTTATTTGAAACAAGTTTTTCGTCAAATTGCCAATTCGCTGGACAAATGTATTGTTGCTAAAGAGTTCAGCAACCTGATCGGAGTCAAATAGGACAGTGGGCTAAGTGGTCCGGTCAATGGCTCTGTTCTATTTCTCACAACAACAACTGGAATTCCATACTACTATGTCATCAGCAATATGATATTGCTGAAAATTACGAAAATATGTGTCAATCGTGTTATGTTGAACCTATCTGGAGAGAGAGAGAGAGAGAGAGAGAGAGAGAGGGATGGGGTTTAACGTCCACTCGACACAAACCAGGACTAACATATGGTTTAATTTTATTTCAATAATTCGCATGTGCGTAGGGGTCTTTAGCAGTGGGAGGAAACCGGAAGACCCGGAGAAAACCCTGAAGGTTGGACAGGCGACCCTACTCCTTGTCACGTACAACCAAGGAAGAGCATAATTATCTGGACCCAAATGTAAATTTTATTCGCTCCATTACTCAAATTTTCACTAAAATGATAAATGTATATTTTATACTGGTAATTAGTGGGGGTGGTCACTCCACCAGTATCCACCACTGAACGTTTAGTTGGGTGGGGATGGGTAGGCCAGGGCACTCCAACAGGATCCACCACTGAACATTTAGTTGGGTGGGGGTGAGGACAATGGTCCTCCACTAGGATCCACCACTCAACATTTAGTTGGGGGGGGGGGGCAAGGGTCCTCCACCAGGATCGACCACTGAACATTTAGTTGGGTGGGGGTGAGGACAATGGTCCTCCACCAGGATCCACCACTCAACATTTAGTTGGGTGGGGGGTGGGGGCAAGGGTCCTCCACCAGGATCGACCACTGAACATTTAGTTGGGTGGGGATGGGCATTCCAGGGCACTCCAACAGGATCCACCAATATTTAGTTGGAAGGGGGCGGGGACAAGGGCCCTCCACCAGGATCCACCACTGAACATTTAGTTGGGTGGGCAGGCCAGGGCACTCCAACAGGAGCCACCAATATTTAGTTGGAGGGGGCGGGGACAAGGGCCCTCCACCGGGATCCACCACTGAACATTTAGTTCGGTGAGGGTGGGGAGGCTAGGGCACTCCAACAGGATCCATCAATATTTAGTTGGAGGGGGGCGGGGACAAGGGCCCTCCACCGGGATCCACCACTGAACATTTAGTTCGGTGAGGATGGGGAGGCTAGGGCACTCCAACAGGAGCCACCAATATTTAGTTGGAGGGGGCGGGGACAAGGGCCCTCCACAGGATCCACCATCCGATGTACACATTGGCGTGCACGTACGTAACAGATCCCTTGGCAGTTGGAATTCGATATATGGCGAATACTCGTCTTGATTAGCCCAGTCGGAGCAGAACAGTAGGACGTTAAACCCCATTTCAATTCTTCTTGGCAATTCGGTGAAGACAGTGTGGAAGACCCGCGCGCTGCCTAGGCACCATTTACCTCATAACACACTGCATGGTGTTCCGTTTTCATTAGCCCGTTTGATTCAGACACGGGTACGACGTATTTGTCTCTACCGCCTTTTGGAACTAAGTACACGCGGGAAATCCCCTATAGTCCGGGTTTATTCTGCTCTACAGAAACTATGGAATCATTCCTATGACAGAAAATGAAAGTAGATTATACTTGTATTATTACAGGCCCGGAACTGTACAGCACAGTGGGCGCTTACGGCTGGCACCTGGATCCAATCACTTGATTTAATATGTTTTGTTTGTTTCTTGCAGTGGCTATATGTAGTTTGTCGTGTCCACAGGTTTGTCTTGTCGGTTTTGTTTTGTGTGTAGTGCGGCACTCCTACTTTTACTATTATATATATAATTAGTTTCGTCAGGATCTGTTTTGTCATCACCTAATTTCAGAAACATTGTCCTCTTTTTATGCCAGTTTATTTTCGGTTCGGTAAATTAGTTGTTTCTATGTTATGTTTATTTCTTGAAATAAGTCTAGAACGCAATAGAATAATTCTATTCCTAGCATATCTTTATTCTTTATATATAGATGGCATCATTGACATGGTGCCAAAACGCGCGCGCGCCTCGCTTCCAAACATCACGTGGAATTTGATGTATATAAACAAAGAAGAAGGGTTTCTCAAAGAAACTTAATTTTCATTTCAACATCGGAGAAATTAGTGTGGACCGTAGGTAAGTGTTACCTATTTATATTCTATTATTTGACCCCATGCATATTTATATATGTTTGTTTGTATTTCATGCTATGTTTACCTGTCTAAGGGGAGAGATCGGGGTCAAGGGTCAAATCAACAGGTACAAAATAAAACACAGGATGAATTCATCAATAAAATTCTACTATGATGGAAGCGGTTATGCATGATGGGAGGAGAAAAAAGGATTTTGAAATATTATTAACAGAACTTCCAGTGGTGCAAGAGGGTGGGTCTGGCAAGTAAAGTGTCTAGTCGTTCGGATGAGAAGAAAAACCTAGGTCCTGTGTCCGGGAAACATTGGCCTTACAGCATACCGTATGCCCGTCTTCATTCGGAACTGAAAACGATCTTGTATGTCAGGATCTTAAATAAAACCGTATTTGTGAAATCATTTAAAAAAAACCATGATAGTTAACAGTAAACTGAATTTGAGTTTTTATAGCGCATAACTAGCAGAATCACTAATTAATTTCATTTTATAGCACATATCTTTTAAATTGCATGATCACTAAATTTGATTTTATAATGCATAACTTTAAGGATCAATTATAGCATATAACTTTTAATTTGCATGATCACTAAATTTGATTTTTATTTTTTTTATTTATTTTTTTTTTAAATATAATTGTCTAACTTACCCCACATTACCAAATATGACAAGAGGTGTGTTTACATATGTAATTTGCCATTGTGACAAAGGTTGACGTTGTGGGTTGTCAAATTTGAAATAATAGCATATCAGCTTCAGGCTTTGTCTCTTAGAGTTACATTCGCTTACAATCTGTCACCACTCCGGCATACGTTTCAGCTCATCAGCAATATGCAAACCACTTAAATGAGAAGTGGTATAATTAATGTGTCATAGAAAGGGAACACCCACACTGCCTCATACACAGGTTGTTCAAAGCATATTCAGTTTATCAAAATTACGAGCAGTGCACAAAGTTGACGGTAAACACAATGTGTGGGTAAGTTGTCTAACAATAAACACATTCCGCACTTCGTGATAAGCACTGTGATTTCTTTTTAGATGTAGAATGAGAACGCGTGACAACTTGTAAATTGTTCCAATTCTTCTTGTGTTTGTCATCATAATAAGAATAACTTCTACTAACTTACTTATTACATAATTACCTCGTAAGTCTACCACGTCTTACATAACATTGGCTGCATCTGACTAATATCAAACAAGTGCAAATAGACTAGCGAAAAAAAGATCTGGAAAATAGACACAATTACTGCTATCACACGATTGCGCAACGAAAATAATCAACTCATACGTCTATCTCGTCTGACTGATATATTAGCAAAAAACGATCTAGAAATTAGACACAAGCGCTGCCATCACATGATTGCGCAACGAAAATAATCATCTCGTCTGAATGACATAATAGTAAAAAATGATCTGGAAATTGGACGCAATCGCTGGCATCACAAGATTGCGCAACGAAAACAGTTTGTATTGGTTTAATTGCCTGGAATGGTTTACCTAGTTCTGATATGATATATCGGGCAGACCTATTTTTAAAACTAAAATTAACTCGGCGTGATGGGTTGGGTGGTCGAGTGGTCTGACGCGTGCGCCATAGATCATAAAGTCAAGTCGCGTGGTTTCGATCGGAAGCTTGTACGTGACAAGGAGAAGGGTCACTTGTCCAACCTCGTGAGGTTTCGCCGGGTCCTCCCACTGCTAAAGATGGTTTTAGGTCGAAAACACCAAGTACGGGCCCGCTAAGTATATTCTGTCATTGAGTCAAGTGGCATGGTTTCAGATGCAAGCTTGTACGTGACAAGGAGAAGAGGGTCGCGTGTCCAGCCTATTTTTGAAACTAAATATAATTCCCCTGTCCATCCTCGTGAGTTTTCTCTGGGTCCTCCAGTTCCCTCTCACTGCTAAAGACCCCTACGCGCAATCGAATTATTGAAATAAAATTATTAGTCCAAAATTACCGGGTTTGTTCGAGTGGAAGCTAAACCCCAGTTCCTTTTAAGACTCAAACCTCGTGGGTTTTCTCTGGGCCCTCCGGTTTCCTCCCACTGTTAACTTTCTAAGGAAAGGTTACTTTGATCTAGAATAAATTGATGACTTAATTTCCAATCTATGAATCTGTGAATATTCTTCTGGTGTAATTGTTTTTACCAATTATATTGTCAGAAGTTATCTGAATTCTCGTAATAAGTTATTTAGAAATAGGTAAACACCGAACACGTGGCTTGTGGTCAGTCTATTTTTAGAACCAGAACCAGAAACACGCGGCACCAAGTGAAGAAAGGTGTATATAGGTTTCATATATACTACCTGGCACTTCCTTTCATTCTGTTCTCGCAGACGGCCACGCGCGCCTATATCTGTGGCGCCATTCTGCGAATCCATACAGCGCATATACCATCTATAAACTTTGGTTTACGATTACCCGACCGATCCTATTTTTTTTTTTTTTTTTTTTTTATTAAGCTGAAATCTATAACCCTAAACTTTTTAACTTATTTCCCCGACCATGTAACTCAGTCTTGGCGTGATTTTCACTAGACAATTTCCAACACTAAGATTCCGGTATTATTTTCAGGAATAATAAAAAGATTTTTCAACCGACTGACCGGATCTTGGGGATTAAGGAACCATAAACAAAGTTATTTCTCTTCCCTGCCTTGTATATAGTACAGAGTCTTTAATCAAACACATTCCTTTTAATTTTTGGGTTTATTAAACCACGCCCCAAATAAGCATTTTCCGTAAACCAACTTCAAGTGATCGTATGTGATCGTAGATATTCCATATTAGCTGTGTTTGGAGGAGTGTGTGTAGCCTATCCTTTAAAAACAAGTTCCAGATAGGATTGTTACATGACCATTTTATTTCAATAAATTTATGTATTATAGTTTTAGTCACAACCCCGTCATCACAAAACCCACCTCTCAGTTCTTCTAATATAAGATTTTTATACTTATATATACCTTTGGGATGCCAAAATGATGATTTCATTTCAATTTTTTAAATTATTTTCTGTCATAAAGCCCAAGTCCCCACACACCCAAATCCTCACCCCACCCCACCATCTCTATCACACCCAACTATAGAACTGTTCATTTTGATAACAACTGCTAGAGTTATTTGCATGTCTGAATTCAGTACAGAAGCTTATTAACGTATCTAGAATGTAAAGCTTTTGAGAAGCGTGCATTCCTGTCTAATCTCGAATAACCAAATGTTTTGGCACTGGTTTCTTAAATAGTACGTTCTCACGTGTGTTTCTTTCCTTCCAGGTCTCGTGCAAATCGATGACGTCACATATTCGTCCTCTAAGTGCATGTTTAGAGCGGTGGAATATAGGTAGTAATATGGAAGCGGTCGGGCTTCTACCTACGCCAGTTCCGTCAACTAACTCTCCGGAACCGACCACCCAACGCAGCATCGTGGAGCAGTTACTGGACAAAAAGTTGGCGGAGGGCGATTTCTGGTACGTGGTCGTCGCTGAGTGGTTGGAACATCTTAAAAAGTACCTGGGAATCGCCTCAACAAGAAAGTATTATCAAAATAAAGCCGCATCACCGCCTGGACCAATCCACACTCGCCGTGATTACGCGCATACAGTGGACTTTTTACACGAAGATGCCTGGCGTATGTTGGTGAGCTGGTACGGCCTGGCCGAAGGTCATAAACCAATGAAACTTGTGGTGTTTGGATACAAGAGAGGAGCGGAAATCGAACACAATTTGAACTCTTTCAAGGTTATGTTATCTACTTCGCCGGCTGAAGATTTCCATAACGTGAGATTTAGCAAAATGGAAAGAGCCGGTCACATTGAGTGGAAAGTCCGAGAACTTTACAGAACGCCAAATTCACAACAAACGAGATTGTGGGCCAAGGCAGATGTGGACAGTGATTGGCAGCCTGTGTTACATCGCGACAGATCCATGGGAAAAATACTAGGAGTAGATTCCGATTTCACGCGACCAATCGTCGCTATGGAAGTGTGTAGTAGAGAAGGGGGGTGGAAGTCGCCACCCGAAGGCGTAGAGCCAACCAATGAACTACCCTTTGGTCCGCTTTACGAACATTCGATTTTTGATGACGTCACAACTGCTTGGGAAATTGACATTCATGATCAGATTGAACAGATCGGTAAAAATTTCATTGAAAAATTACACGGAAGTTTCAGTGGATTTGTCCACAAATCAAAGGAATATGTTGAAGAAAGGGAGGGGCATTTACGGGAAAGAGAGCGTGAGATGTACGAGCGGGAATCCGTGACGGATAAATTGACTGGTCGTCTGCAAGACAAGGAACGTCGTCTGAACGAGGAGCTGGAAACGTGTGAAACAAAGACGCGGGAATTTGAATCCCGGCGACTGCAACTGGAGAAGGAATTTTTGGAGAAGGTTGAAAAAGTTGAGAAAAATTTGGAAGAAAGAACAACTGAATTAGAAAAACAGAAAACGCAATTGGAGAAAGAAAAGAATAATTTTGAGGAAGAAATGAAGGTAAGCAATCGATTTTTTTAAAATTTAATTTTAATGGATAGTTAATCCCTTATGATAATTAGCTAGCAGTGGGGAGTATAAAATGATATGGGGTTTAACGTCCTACTTTTCTGTTCCGACTGGGCTAATGAAGACGGGCATACGCCATGCAGTGTAGTGTGATAGAAATTTTCCCGGGCAGTGGCACTATGACCTAGTGTTTTATCGAATTCCAACTGCCAAGGGATCTTTTAAATGCATACCATTGTGTTCACGGGTCGTCGGTTTTCCTTCCCATCCGAACGACTATACACTGTCCCTTGCCAGATCCTCGGTCCGACACCACTGACAAGGGATTTGAACCATGACGGAAAATCGAGACGAATCTTCTAGGCCAATACCGGTATCGAAACACGGAATCTCCAGGCTAGCGAATCATTTAATAATATGACCTTAAAGATACATTATGTAAGATTTAGATGAAGATCTGGTCGGTCATGCTATAATAGCGTAAAAATAGATAATTAAAATGAATATATTGAAAATCTCGGTCATGATATTCCTTTATTCTGAGCAAAGTTATGTATGAGTGTTTGATGTTTTGGAACGATTTAGTCTAAATAGTCTCGAATGCCATGTAACTATTCTATGACCTTAATAAACATGATAACTGGCATCAAACAAAATATGTATATTTAGATATATAGTCATAAAAACACAAATATGGTGGACACGTGTTTCCCAGATGGCGGGAAATAAGATAAGATAGGTAGAATGCCACTTGCGTCATGCAGTGTTTATTATAATATATGTTCATAGGAACTGATAGTTACTAACGTTACACTGGGGCCGTGTACATCACGTGACTCTCAAGTATTAAAGTAGCAATATTATTATTAAAGATGCATTATTCAAGAGCTAAATCTGCCTATTGCAGGTCTTTCATTGGGCATTAAATTATTAATTAGACATTTATGAACATAACAAGCCCATAAACAACTCTCTAGACGTCGGATGGGCAAGATTTAAATGGATTTAAACATCCGGGAGATTTAAAAATTTAACGATAAAATGGACCATGAACGATCTCAGCTATATCTTCAAACAGTCATAACTTTGCTCATAATCAAGTAACTGAATAACATTTTTAACAGTCCTGTTTGAATCTCGTGAACTTTGACCAAATTTGCATTGAGCCTTAACTTTTAGAACTAACCAGTGACTTGCCTAGACTTATTGTTGCATTAAGGCAAAGATGAAGTTCTCTGTTACTCATTATGATAATTAGTTGGCAGTGGGGAGGAAAGAATAACAAAATAATATATAACTCGGTATTACACGTACTTTATTTATATTGACAGTTTGGCAAGAAAGAAAAATTAATCAGGCCAACCATTTAGGGGGCCACGGTGAGTAAGGGGTTGACTCACTAACCTAGTCCCGTGTTCGATCTCTGTGTTGGCTGAGAAAGTGGTCCCCCCTTGTCAGTGGTGTAGGACAGAGGGCCTGGCAAGGGACAACGTATAGTCATTCGGATGGGACAAAAAACGAGATTTCATGCCAACACGTTAGTTTTTTACAGCATAGCCGGTGTATAGGTCTATCCATTTATAGAAATAGATGATTCAACTTAACAAAGATGTTTTCTGTGTAGGAGAAAGCATGAGACGAGCTTTCTTCCCCAGCATAACTAAAGTCGAGGACTTTATCTTGCTTATAAACTGTCTATGTTTACATGTACGTAAAATGAGAATATCCTAGAATTCCCGTAAGAAAAACCCTATATCATGTTTTCTCATGGAAAAAAACCTATCCTGTAAGAATAACTCGATACAAGTTTAAAGAAAAACTTTCAGAAGAATAACAACAAATTCCCCTGTATATATCCAAAGCCGCCCCCGGCTTTCAGACCGCAAGTTATTCCGGACATAGAATATACCCCATAGATCAAAGAGATTTACCGTTATAGGTTTATAAATCCGTCTAAAACTGATTTTATTGAAAGTAGGTGATTCAACTGAACAAAAATACCCTCTGCTATATCCATCTAAAACCTGATTTTGTTCAAATATATGATTAAACTTAACAAATATAGGTATTCTATCCGTCTAAAAACTGATTTTATCCCTTTCGGGCCCAAGTGGTTAAGTTTTAAAATAATTTCTTGTTTTATGATATTTTATAGATGATTTGGGTTTAGTTAGGGGTATCCACAAAATTATTTTTAAGTTTTATAAATTTTGCTGAAGCGGGTGGGGGTGGGACTTGAACGGTAAAGGGGTAAATTATTTTCAATACGAAAAAGACCAAAAATGTTTAAATTATTCTGAAATCTGTATTTTCATCATAACTTTAATCCGCAACACTAAACAGACAATTCAAACAAAGAAAACTATATTGTCTAAACAATTTGAAGCAATAATCCATAGTTAAATTCATTCAACTAAAGGCGTAAACAAATTTAACTTGAAATACAAATGTATAGTTAATTTCCAACCGCACTATGCAAATCTAGAAAACATTATTTTGATTTATTATAGCATAAGAAAACATTACACGTAACACATTTACTCTGAGGGGATTCAATGTTTTTCTTAGAACAAACCTCACATCGACCACGATTTTCTGAAAACATATATCATTTCACAGATCAGTTGTAATTTAAAATCTCTTTGTCATGTTGTAAAGGGATAGATTCAGACATATTAATCAATTCGCAAAGGAAAAGTCACATAAATTTGGAAAAAACGCATTGGTACTTCAGAGTCCCAGGACGTTCAATCTGCCTGACCGGACTGATACGTCCCACCGAAAATAAATATGACAGTAATTGCAAATATTACCCGTTTTTTTATATAAACTTTATGAAAGGGTTCTGCTTTCGATAAAGTTTCATGAAAAAAAATCTCAATCATTTTACTTACTTTGAACTTTCTCCGTGCCTTCAAACATGCACAAAAATTTTCTTACAAAAACATCACCGTGATTTTGTATTTGACACTGAAATGCCACTCTACAATTTTTTTGCACTAAGACTGCACTACTTCAACCCAACCTTAGACCTACCTAAAACTGACTTATAATGAAATACTGACCATAATACACATATGCATTGCAACACTGTATTCACTATATGATTGGACATGAGAGTCCCGTCGGGCCTGAAAGGGTTATAGAAACAGATGGATGATTCAACTCAACAAAAAAAAATACCCTGTGCTATATGTCTAGAAACTTATTTTGTTGAAATAGGTGATTCAACTGATCTGTATCATTGGGGGTGAATGATTCACCTTGACGCTATGAAGATGAATCAAAACAAATGATATCATGCCGCCCCCTCTCCATGTGTGGGTAATTAAGTCTATATCATATGTAACAAATGTGTTGCTGATCAACATTATTAGTTGTTTTAAGTCAGTTGTGTTTGTGTCACGTCCTTTATTATTCGTGCAATTCTAGTCTATTTCAAAGGTTTCGGTAAGTGGCAGGGATGGACAGAGAGGTTCTCATAGGCGTAGGAGCCGGGGGGGGGGGGGGCATGGGGGGCATTTGCCCCCCCCCCCCCCCCCAAATTTCATTTTCGGGCAATGAAAAATTCGACGACCTTTTTTTTTCTATTAACGTTTAGAGAAAAAATATAACTAACTTATTTCTATGAGATCCACACTGCCCGAAAAGTATTTTCTCGTCTTTTTCTTGTCCACTGCATGCCCGAAAATATGTCCGAAGCTCTCTTATGATAGGTATGCCCGAAAAAACGGTATTGATTTCGGGCAATTTTCTCTTATGCCCCCCTGAATTACTTTGAGCTCCTACGCCTATGGAGGTTCTCGCGTCGTTTCGGGGCCCATTGTCTTGAATTTACGTCGTTTTGGATTAATTGGCAGGATTGCCACTCTCTAAATGTGTGCTTAGGCTAGAGACATCAGGATATTCGCTAGAAAGAAAGCACCATTTAAAGAATAGCCTACTGCGGACAGTGCCAGACTGAGCGGCTTCTCAACCCAAGCTCGCTAAAAGCCTATAAAACCATTCTATTATTTTGTTTTCATCTGTTCTCTAATATTTATACGTTTATTTCTATGTTTTCAGAAAATGTCAGAGTTGCACAAAATACGAGACAGTCGAATCAAATTAGACATAGGTGGTCATCAGTTTACTACATCATTACTCAGTTTAACACGTGACCCGGCCTCCATGCTGTCCGCCATGTTTAGTGGGCGGCACGATATAAAGAAAGAAACAGACGGTAGTTATTTCATTGATAGAGATGGCACTCATTTCCGATATATATTAAATTATCTGCGTGATGGTGGAATCAAAGAGGGAACACTACCCAATTGTGAAAACATATGGAGGGAACTACTTACCGAAGCGGAATATTACCAGTTAAACGAACTCGCTGAATATCTGAATGCGCTCCTTTTCTGTAAAACATCACCAGATGGCGACACTTTCGTATAGGCTAAAACGCACAATTTTGATTGATAAAGGACATCCTCAAATAAAAATCATTTCCATAGACTATTTGAAATATAAACTCTGCAATTTCAACTACGGACACCGTTGATGGTAATATTTTCCTATTTTTAGTCAAATATTAAAATTGAAGGCAATTTTAGTTGCTTTCGTTTGTGATCGTCCTCGATTTTGTTAGGCCTATATTTTCCCCAAAATGTATGTTTTACTGAACTTTTCGGCATTTGAAATAACCTGTGTTGAACTCAGAAATATTTCGATTTGAATGTGCTTTCATGTGTATTCTTGTCAATGTGCAGTTTAAACTGTGTGCGGATTTGGGATTGAAGTGGCTTGCTTTGTTAAAGGGAGACAACTCCAGTTTTGAGAAATTAAACTATGCAATTTAAAATACAGTGATTTGTCCATTAAAGAAAACTGTATTTGCAATGGATATATTATATTTTAAACACTTGCGGTTACCGATTGCAGTCTGGTGATTCGTGTAGTTGGCTTGAATTAAGCATTGTCCATATATGCAAGCCTAGAATTTCACCCGTTCCTCTCTCCGCTCTGCCCCAATTAGAAGTAATATTATTATTACGACCATGGGTTACGAATTACGATACTGTAAATATAATATGATATTTATATAGGCCCATGTTTGTTTATATAGGCCTATTTGTGTGTATATTTTTGTATATTGGAGAATAATTGTGATATACGATATATTTTATAGATGTATATATAGAATATTGTTATTTATAGAAAACAGAGATATTGCATACAATTAATGAGAAATAGAATTCAATGTAACTATAATGAAAACACTTAAAGGGCCTTTATGGGAGATAAGATAAAAAGTTGTCAGTTCTCGCTATAATAGTACGTAAATAGAATATGCTGAAAATTTCAGTCAAATTGCCCCACTCTGAAACGAGATATTAGCGGTTGAATTTTAGGCCTAGCCTCGATCATCATTACTAAAGTCGCTACGATAAGAAAACAAAGTCTCGATTATCCAATTTTACGTTTAATTATTTTTTTAAAAATGTATCCCAATCCGCTAAATATCCCAGGCTGGGATGGTATCGAGAGTTGATTTTGGTCTGGATAAGTTAATCAATGTCTAATTAATAATTTAGATAACATTTCAGGCCTAAAGAAAGACTTGCAATAGACAGATTTACCTCTTGTATAATGTATGTTTAATGAAGTAATTAAAATGTTGAATTAACATGTACAATTCGTTGTAAATAATTGCTGCCTGTCCAATATTGTCAAAAATCAAACAGTTTAAATTTAAAGAAATACAAGCTGCTTGGGGCGGGGGGTGTCGTTTTTTTAAACAATATTATATTAAAAAATTGAAAGGTATTGAGAACAGACATGCGCGATATGACCTCTCTCCTAGCTGCTCGTGCTTTGACATAATATGTCCTTTTATCTAGATCATCCAGGTTCAGCGTTTCCTGCGTGGTTTCCCCTTGTCGGTTGTACAGGAAGGAGGTCTGATAATGAAAGCTGTCTAGTCGTTCGGATGGGACCAAAAACCGAGATCCCGTGTACACGTGGGTCATTGAATGGCACGTAAAACGTCCCTTGGTAGTTGGAATTCGATATAAGAGTGGGCCGTAGCGCCGTTGTCCAGGCAAAATTTCCCTCATAGCACACTGTATGGCGTATGCCCGTCCTCATTAGCCCAGTCGGAATAGAACAGTAGGACGTTAAACCCCTTATCATTTGATTTCCGGGTTAATAGATCAAGTAGAGGTGTTATCAGATGTTTTAAAATAATATATTCATGTGGTTTGACGTCCCACTTTTCTCCACTAACTGATCTAATGAGCCATGGCGGAAAATATGGTTTTTCGTATCGTCAATGGAATATATAAGGTCTCGATTTATCACTGAAAGGACACGACGATTATCCTCGCCATATACCCTCCTATTCAACATAGGCAAAAATCAGACTGGATAATCGCGAGACAGTTTAGGGAGTGTGCGCCATACTGGACACAAACTAGGTCATTTCGGAACTAAAATATGGTTTAATTTTAATTCAATGATTCTCTTGCGTGTAGGGGTCTTTAGCAGTGGGGAGCATATCTTCCCTATTATACGTGTGGGGTTTTTTGGGGGGTGTGTGTGTGTGGGGGGGGGGTGTTGTCGTTGTTGTTGTTGTTGCGTTGCGTTGTTGTTCTTGTTGTTGTCGTTGTGGTTGTTGTTTAATAGTCTAGGTTCTAAATCACTCTTCCGGTGGTTTCCATCCTAAGTGTGTATGTGACAAGGACTAGGGTCGCCTGTCCAATGTTTGGGAGTTTTTTTCCGGGTCATCCGGTTTCCTCCCCTACGCACAAACGAAATATTGAAATAAAATTGAACCATATTATATTAGTCCCGAAATGACCTAGTTTATGGCGAATGGACGTTAAACGCCATTTTAAGATAAGATCAATTTTTTTATTACAGTCACATCTGAGTAATCAATATTGGTCTTATGACCAAGTGCAGCTTTTAATGGGGAATGGAGTTAGTATTTTTGACTGAATTCAACATTGTATTATACTATTTTCTATCCAAAACTCTACGTTATGACCGAGCAACTATCTCAGTATACGTGATACGTTTTCAAACAACTTAAACCCGTCAGTCTTCATCTGGAAATGGAGCCCGGTGTCCCAAGCTGTGTTATACGGTGTCTGGATAAAAGCCAATTTTTATTTTATAAAAATAACTTGTAGGTGAAATTTACCTTTACTGTATAGACCTCTAAAGGAACGGCAATAGATTATCGGGTAACTCAACGAAAAAAATGAATCGAAATCTTAAAAGGATTACGTATCCGGATAAGCGGTTTTGACAGTTGACGTCCAAACGACTCAATATTTCGAACTGAAATTTTGGGACAAGTTAAATAGCACGTGCGCGCTGTATCATAAGGCCTGTCATTGAGTCAACTGGCGTGGTTTCGAATCCCCGGTTTTACGTGACAAGGAGTAGGGTTGCCTGTCCAACCTCGTGGGTTTTCTCCGGGTCCTCCGGTTTCCTCCCACTGCCTAAGATCCCTATGCGCAAGCGAATTATTGAAATAAAATTAAAACATATGTTAGTCCCGAAATGACCTAGTTTGTGTCGAGTGGACGTTAAACCCCATTTCTCTCCATATATATATTTCATACGTACACTTTTGTTTCTGAGACCCAGTTAAATTCCGGGATGGTCCCTTTAAATAGAAATATTGCAAGTTTATACAAAGTTGATAAATAAAAATAAACTGGGATGTTAATCCGAGAGATTTTTCTATAGTGAAGATAATTAAACACATTAGTTTAAAAATCATCAAATAATACAATATAAACTAAATAAATTCTAATTCAACCTGTTACAAATAAAATCACGTGATTAATTTTAACCAATCAGCTGTGTCCACTTAAGTTCTGGTGAGACATCTGTTCGAAGTCTGTTTTATCAAGTCATCGACATTTTTTTTTTTTTTTTTTTTTTAATTTATACATAAAGATCATAATTCTTTGACTGACGAATAAGCTGAAAATTCTTGTTATTGAAAACATGAAACTAAAAAAAACCCTAAATTATAAATTTGAGAAGAAGAGAAATAAAATGGGATGTCCTACTTTTTTGCACCGAACGAGCTAATGAAGACATGGGAGCCACAGTGGCTGTACGTGACAAGGAGTAGCGTAGCCTGTCCAACCTCGTGGGTTTTCTCCGGGTCCTCCGGTTTCCTCCCATTGCTAAAGACCCCTGCGCGCAGGCGAATTATTGAAATAAAATTGAACTATATTATATATTCCCGAAATGATCTAGATTGTGTCTAGGTGACGTTAAGTATCTCTCTTTTAGTTTCATATGTTCACAAAATATTTCCAACAAAGAGATGTAACAAATGAAAAAGTCAATAACTGTGTTTTAGGTCTTTGAAGCTTGATAATTACAAATATATTGTTCAGTACGACAGATCATAGGTCGCTAATAGCGCAGTGTGTTAATTTCCTAATTTCTACTTTTCGAGTTACATTTTGGCTTGTATAGCGTGTTGGCGCCTTCTTACTGACATCAATAAATACAAAAATATGACTAAGTCGAAAGTCGACAAGACGGTATACAAGCCAAAATGCAAGTCGAAAAGTAGAAATTAAGAAAAAACGGGGGGCGCTATTATCGCGGTGTGTTATTTCTTAATTTCCTATTTTCGAGTTGATTTTGGCTTGTATACCGTCTTGTCGCCTCACATTTTGTCGTAACTTCTACTTTTCGACTTTTCGACTTTCGTGTTCTGAAGAGGCGAAAAGTAGAAATTATGAATGGTAGTTATAGGCTTCCATACCAAGCTGTATTATACGGTGTCTGGATAAAACCAGACTTTTATTTTATAAAATAAAGTGTATGTGAAATTTACTCTTTGTTATCAAGTACAGCACGTGTGATATGCACTGTATAGACCTCTAAAGGAACGGCAATAGCTTATCAGGTCACCCAACGAAAATATTGAATCGAAATCTTAAAAGAGTTACGTATCCGGATAAGGAGAAATGAAATGAAATGGGGTTTAACGTCCTACTGTTCTGCTCCTAACCTGGGCTAATGAAGACGGGCATACGCCATACAGTGTGCTATGAGGGAAATTTTGCCCGGTCAGCGGCACTACGGCCTACTCTTATATCGAATTCTAACTGCCAAGGGATCTTTTACGTGCACGCCAATGTGTACACGGGACCTCGGTTTTTCGTCCCATCCGAACGACTAGACAGTTTTCCTTGTCAGCCCCTCCGTCCTGCATCACTGACAAGGGAGAACCACGCCGGAAAATCCGGATAAGGGGTTTTGACGTTGACTTCCAAAGGATTCAATATTTAGAACTGAAATTTTGAGACAAGGTAAATACACCATCCCTCTATATTTTGGCGCTTAAATTTCATCCGTACAGTTTTCTTTCTGAAACCCTGTTAAAATTCGGGCTGCACCCTTTAAATAGAAATATTGCAAGTTTATACAAAATTGATAAATAATGATAAATTCGGATGTTAATCCGAGAGAATTTTCTATTGTAGTGAAGACAATTACACCTCCGGATCTCTTCATTGTGAACTCAACTAGGTCGCTTGTGGGGAAATGAGACGGATAACAACTACTGAAATTCACTGTCCCAATACAATACCAAAAATTTCACGAACACGCTTTTTCTCCCTGTTAACCCCCTACTGATCGAAAATATGGGTCTAAGTCACTCCAAGTGATCCAAAAAGCATTTTTCTGCGAAATAAGCAAGGTGACCGTGAAGATTCTTCAGGATTTTCCAAACTTATTTCCCCTTGTCTGGTCTGGCACGGAAAAACGTCCAGTGAACCGTTCGGATGTAAGGACAAACACGAGGTCCAATGCATACTATTACCCGAACGTTAAAGTGGCCCGAGGGAGTGTGTTTATTCTTCCGTTCAATCAAATCTATCCCAAGTACAGCAACATGTCAGCCCTTCGTTTAATCTGGGGTCTTCCCTAAAACTTTGGACAGTGATTTAAGGTATTAAAAACGGTTTAAGTATTGTTCATCTCCAAACAGTATTGTTTACATTGTATCTGTTTTGATAGCCTCGTTTGTCACGCAATTAGTTTTTCTGCCGTATTCTGCTATGCACTGGTTAATTGGGCATAATAAAATCGTGAGTCATGACGTAACGTTATGTAAACTTATTTGCTCCAATTTGGAGCTTTGTTTAAAGCGTAATGATATTGTTACGCAGTTAGCCATTGGTTTTTAATCGGACTATAGACCAGTCATAATTTGGAACAGAAATTTGCTTCCTTTACAGCAGTGTTAAGGGGAATTAGGTGTAATCAAACGAAACACTGCGAGGAGTATGCCTGACTGCTGGAATTCGAAACATTTAGAATTCCAAATGTAAAGGGTTATTTTCCGTACAAGTCAACGTCCACGCGTAGCCAAGGTTTGTCGTCCCATCCGAACGAATAACCACTGTTCCTTGCCAGACGTTCTGTCCTGCACCACTGCCAAGAGGCAAACCACGCCCTTTGCCTAATGCAGTGGTTCTCAACCTTGTTTTGCCAACGGCACACCTTGGAACACATGAAAAATAGCGGCACACCTGGCTAAATATATTTGAAAATTATTTAACTTTTGCAAAATAAAAACATGGTAAGTAAGACGGCATACAACCATAGACAGAGACCAGTCATGCATAAACATATAGAATAAC